GTCCCAATCAACACAGAATTAAAAATAACTAAATCCTGGATATTGCCCTCAGTAACTAGGCTGCAAAAAGCATCACACAATAGTTTTAAAAGTATAAATTGAAAACTAATCACTCCATTGAATCCTTCCTTTCATTTGGTTAATGGATGTATAAAAAACTAGGTGATTCTACCGCTGCTGTGCTTAGAATATAAACAGAGAAAAATCAAAGTTATTTCTTTTAATCAAAGCTCCACAGTGGTGTAAGGCAATTTTTTAAAACAATTCAGCACTTTTACAATAACATCAACTTCTCTGTTAAATCTGAAAAGCAGAACTGAGACAAATACCAACTCGAAAAATTCAAGAAAAACAAACACATATGAGTGGGGAAAAAAAAAAAATTAGCACCTCACACAAGAGAGCATTAAGAACTGTCACTACCTGCAACTAGTTGGTAGCAATAGAGTTCCTAGTGACAAAATCAGACACAGACCGCTCCCATACTCCACTCTGGGAGCACGCAGAGGCACAGCACTCGGAGTATGCTTGGATGGAGGGGAGGATCACCAAGGGTATTCTACAAGAAGCCTCAACAGGGAACACTTGAAGTAACCTAGACCTGCCCAGAGACATATCCACCTATATTCCTAAACACTATCTGAAACAGTTTTTCTCTGTCAACCGGGAAATCTTTATTTCCTTATCTTTGTTCTGTCTTTAGGCCTTTATTACATCAGAAATACAGAAAAACCTGACGCAAGCTAACTTTCTGGATGTTTCAAAGAAGAAATGCTTAACTTACATATCACATAAAAGTCGCACAACTCTCCACACTTCAGAAATACTTTTTCATGTAGCAACCACCGTATGTCTACGCATGTATGTGAACCAACTATTAAAACAAAACAGCATATTTGAGGGAATAAAGAATAAGAACTGGGTAAGTAGACAACACTATCCTGGAGAAAAGATCATCTGGATATAGAAACCACTCTTCAGAAGTGCACAGAAACAGGATTCACTGTACAATGAGAAACATAGGAGAAGTCAGACCAGAGCAAAAGAAAATTGTAGCAGCTCTATACAAGTTTAAACACCAATTTCTATAAAAGTCAAAAATTGAGGCAATCACAGAAAATAGCTTATAGCTCACTGAAAAGAAAGGAAGCCAAATTGCTGGAGAGGAATCTATCTTAGCCAGCTCTATTAAAAACACATAACGCACCAGAGTAATCTTGTCAATACCAATCAGTTGGTACAAGTGGGGAAGGAGGGAAGGCGAGCTGTGCTGCAGCACGATTTGACTTGCAAGGCATTTCATTGAAATTCATCAGTAAGTAACTCAATTCACATAAACTGAAAGTTAAAAGATCCTAGAGAATGAGGGTAAATCCAGTCTAGACTGGGAAAGAGCATAAACAGTTATTACGCAAAGTGCTGAGTATTACATGAAGGGACTATGGCTTCTAAAGTAGTCAGAAAATCCCACCTTCACAGATCGCTGCATCT